AAGCTCGGTAAGTGGAGGAACCATGTCTTTCATGATATCTAATGATAGCTGCTAGCACATGGGAGGCTCTCCAAGTGCTAGTGACCCAAAGATGAATAAAATACATCTTCTGCCCTTGAGAAGCATAGTCTAGCCTAGAAGGCAGTTAAACAAATAAACTAGAACAAATTAACTAGAACAATGTGCTATGACAGATGTATCATCAAAATTCTATATAAGCAACTTCCATCCCTACAGTGCCATCATCTTATACATACCACTAGTCACACCGCTGAAATTTTGCTTGACTGTCTCCCAGAATGCTGTAAGCCCAAGATAAGGGTTGGGAAAGGAGAGACACAGACTGTATCCTATTCATCTTTGAATCCTCAGTGCCTCACACAGAAGAAGCTGGCATATAAAGGTGCTGTATATATTGAATATACGGAGAAATTAATCATACCTTTCCTAGGGAGTGGGAGGTGACCAAAGCAAGCTAAAATGAGAAAATCGACACTATCATTGAACCTGAAAGTCATCTCCCAGAATGAGAGGAAGACAAATGACATGAACAAAGGCATCAAGAGGCAGAGCCGGGGGTGGGGGGAGGGGGGGCGGGGAAACAAGCACAGCTGATTTTAGGAAGATGCCCAAAGTAAATTCAAAGCCTGAGTATATTCTGCCACTCCACTCCATCCTCTCAGGGATCCTTGGATGTCCTAAGAGACTCACAGTGAAGAGATACTTACCCTAGGTCCCCTATTCACTTATGAAATACACTGAAGAATTCTGACCTCACATCACATAACTCAGAGGTAGTCAGTCACAAGAATGGCACACAAAATTCAGAATTTTTCATTCACTACAGACCAGGTACTAGCATGCCCAAAATTCAAATAGAACTGAGACCATAGTTGTCATTCCCCATAGTCTTGTCTCAAATATGCCAAAACAACTTATTTTGGTAATGTAAGCTGTAACTTTTTTAGTAGTGTTCAATAAAAGGAGCTATAGAAAACATGTATCAAAAGAGAAAAAGGCCTAGTAATTTCACGTAATGGACAGTTACGTGAACAGTTAACAATGGTTCTGTGAAATTATTTTATGTAACATAACCCATGCTCTTTAGCTGGCGGAGTGACAGTGAACTTCAGGCTTTGTTCTAAACCAAACCCTTAAATGTGCATCAATGGCAAAGAATGAAGTCAAAATGAAAATACTATATTCCGGTTTATATTTTTAATTTATGAAAACTTGTTGAAGGAGGTTCACACACACACCAATACACTCTCTAAATTTCCATGCTCCTCATCACTATTTCACATTTGGCCTGTTTTTTAACGAATGAGCCAGAACCAGACCACCATAAACTCTTAGAGGAAAGCCCCTAAATCTATCATGCATATAAGACAGAGCTGTACTTACGAGGCTCCATGGCCTCAGTGTCTATAGATGTTGCATGGTTTTGCCTCATAAAAGGAAAAAAAAAAAAAAAAGGATAAATCCCACTCATGGTTTTATTGAATACATTATTTAGAATCTAACATGTATAATTTCAAAAACACAGAAGAATGGGGCACCTGGGTGCCTCAGTTGGCTAAGTGTCTGGCTCCTGATCTCAGCTCATCATTATCTGGTGGTTCACAAGTTCAAGCTCCGCATCGGGCTTTGCACTGATGGTGCGAAGCCTGCTTGGGATTCTGTCTATCCTTCTCTCTGCCCCTCCCCTCTTGTGCTCTCTCTCTCTCAAGATAAATCAACATTAAAAAAATTTTTTTTAACACACAGAAGAGTAAAATAAACAGAAAATCTATTTTGTGTTGTCTGAGAACTTTTGAAATAAGGAATGTTGACTAGAATACTCTGCATTAAATGGCAGTGTGTGATTTTGCAGCCTATAAAAAATGACATTCTTGGGGCGCCTGGGTGGCTCAGTTGCTTGAGTGTCTGACTCTTGGTTTCAGCTCAGGTCATGATCTCGTGGTTCGTGAGTTCGAGCCCCACATCGGGCTCTGCTCTGACAGCATGGAGCCTGCCTGGGATTCTCTCCCCCTCTCTCTGCCCCTCCTCTGCTCTGTCTCTCAAAATAAACTTAAAAAAAAATTTTTTTTAAATGACATTCTTTACATTAAGAAAACAGGGTGAAAAGAGAAAAAATTAGGAATGTGGAATTGAGAAATACCCTAAATATGGTGGAAAATGTCAAGAGACATAAGCGACATGGAGGGGAAAATCCTAGTACCAAGAAAGCAGTATAAGATTTCAGTGAACCTCTGGCAACATAAAATTGTGTTTCTAGCATTGTACAAAGTCTACCATGATGAACAGCCTATCAGATTATAATGCCTTCCACATCAAAATTCAAATGTATCTATATGGGAAATGTTCCATAATGTCAGGTCTAGTTATACAATGGGTCAGTAAGCAATCTTTACAAAAATTCCTTGACAGCAATATTTGCAGAAAAATATTTTAGCCCAATTGATATTTATTCTGTGTAGGGCTAGAAAAAAACAAAGAGATTCTAACTTTCTATATTCATCTTAACTTAGAAACATATCTATTATAAGAAGGCTTACTGTATGAGGGGTGCCTGGGTGGCTTAGTTGGTTGAGCGTCCTACTTTGGCTCAGATCATGGATCTCACAGTTCATTAGATTGAGCCCCACACTGGGCTCTCTGGTCAGCGCAGAGCCCACTTCAGATCCTCTGACTCCCTCTCCCCTCTGTCCTCCCCTGCCCCCCTCATGCTCTCTCTCTTAAAAATAAACAAACATTAAAAAAAAAAATAAAAGGGTTACTATATCAAATTCATGCCATATTATTGGTCTTCATTATTAGTAAAAATATTTACAAGTAGGATACCAACATCAAACTCTGTAATAGTATCTTTTTAAAATTCAACTTTATTATGGCTTTAAGGAAATATAGGCATCTAAGCTCTTTCTAAACTATAACATTTTTTTAAATTATTCTTTTCAAAGAATGTTGTAAACACTTTAGTTTTCAATATAAAAAGATACTTGGGATGAACAATTCATGATTTTATATAATCATACAGAGTGAAGAGGAAATGATATTGAATCAAACTCCCAAACCCAAATATCTGGGTAACATAGTCAAATACTTTAAAGCTGGTGTGTGTGTGTGTGTGTGTGTGTGTGTGTGTGTGTACATTTATAACAATTTTTAACTACCATAGGAGCATCTAAAATCGATCTGAAAGCTGCTTGTCTAAACTTTTCAAATTCAACAATTTCATCATTTCTTCCTCATTAAAAAACCAGAAGATTTGGGGCGCCTGGGTGGCGCAGTCGGTTGAGCGTCCGACTTCAGCCAGGTCACAATCTCGCGGTCCGTGAGTTTGAGCCCCACGTCGGGCTCTGGGCTGATGGCTCGGAGCCTGGAGCCTGTTTCCGATTCTGTGTCTCCCTCTCTCTCTGCCCCTCCCCCGTTCATGCTCTGTCTCTCTCTGTCCCAAAAAAAAAAAAAACAAAAAAAAACCAGAAGATTTAAACATAGCAGAAGTGCAGGACCAGTATGACCATTCCTCTCGATAGCAATAATATCTACTTTGGGATTGGCTAGATCTAAGGCTAATGGTTAAATGGAATCTGGAATCCTCCCAAACCAGCTATGATGAATTCCTTTGAACACTGTTTTGGACAGACAGCCCCTGAGGGGTTCACTCTGGAAAACAGAAACACAAGGTCATTTCCAAATCCACTGCATCAGGGAAGAATTTAGAAAAACCTCTTGAAGACACAGCCATAGTTTTATGCTTCATGCTGCTCAAAGATAGCTCTAGTCCACCATAGATTTAAATAAAAAGAAAATTAGGAAAGGAATTTCCAGGGGCGCCTGGGTGCCTCAGTCGGTTAAGCTTCCGACTTCAGCTCAAGTCATGATCTCACAGTTCATGAGTTCAAGCCCCGCGTCGGGCTCTGTGCTGACAGCTCAGAGCCTGGAGCCTACTTCAGATTCTGTGTCTCCCTCTCTCTCTGCCCCTCCCCCATTCATGCTCTGTCTCTCTCCCTCTCAAAAGTAAATAAACATTAAAAAAAGGAGTTTCCAGGAAACATTCTAAGACCCTACTGAAACCCAAGGTCTGATTTTAGTGTTTGACGAAAAGATGTCACTCCAACATTTATTTTTCATTCCTGATTCTGTGAAAAGGCTTCTGAAGACCAACTTTAGCTTCCGTCCAACCTAGGTCCTCAATGCTTAGAGCTCAAGTCTTTTTCATAAGGTGTAATTATTTCAATTCTAGTCCTAAGGAACCAGTGGGGTTTGTTTTCTATGGATGTGCTCCCTGTTCCCCCAGAATGTGTCACATTTCCTCTGATCTTCACACAACAGTCCTCTGAGATAGGATAGACAAACTCTCCATTTTACTAATGACTTGCCAAATAACTTGCTGTAAGCAAAGCTAAAATGCCAGAACCAAATGCTCAAGTCCAGAACTTCATTTTTTATGCAAAAACATCAAAAAGAGGTATGACTACTAATTTACTAATGACTCTATTTGAACATATGGATGATATAATCCACACATGGGTTATTCCCCTTGGAGCTTGGCCACAACATCAATCTAGGCCAAAATTGAGAGTTTACTTGCAAATGATGGCCAGAAATTTACCTTCATTTGTTTTAGACACCAAATACCTAATTGGCCCTCACTAGGAGACTACTTTTCTGCTGGGCAATAGAAAGGAACTTAAAAATCCACAGCTGCCATGAGAATGACATAAAAGGGAAAGTTGTTAGCCCAGGGGAGAAAAAAAGAATTCCCAAGGAAGTTATAAGGAAATGTATACAATACTCGTGTTATTTTTAAGATTTTAAACATCAGAAATGAATCCAGCTATATCACTCATGTTTTCCCATAAATAAATGTAAATGACTTCACTATTTTATAAATTTAAATGACTATACTATCAATGTAAGTGACTATGCTATTAAACTAGAACCTTGTGATTAAAAACTTTTATACCTATAATATACTTAGTTCTTCTTCATGATTACTGCTTTAAATCTAACAAAAGAGATTCATCATCTTCCACTTTCACCTGGGGTTTAAAAGTAACTTTTAAAGCCTCGGGGGTTGAGATTTCCCCTCCTTCTGTGGGAGGATATACAGCCCTGGCTTCCTCACGGTCTGTTTCACTGAGCTCATCAGTGTAGAGCTCAGTGATGGGGCCCAGAGACTCGCTCCTGGCAATGATGTCCACACCCATCTCCCTGACCTCTTCTGCATCTTCAGCCACAGTTTGGTCTTTAGCTTTCCGAAGGCTATGCATCTTAAAAGCTTCCTTTGAGGGAGCTGCGTTAGAAATGGATTTCTTAAACCTTTCCCCTGACTGTTTCAGCCTCTCTCCCGACTGCCTTAACCTTTCTCCCGACTGCCTTAGCCTTTCTCTCCTCTCCGGGGTCACTATTCTAGTTCTAATTCTGTTCACTTTCTTGTCAAAATTCTGCCGTGTCTTCTGCATGTTTTCTTTGGAAAATGCCTTTTTGATATTATCAATGCGCTCCTTGCCTGACTTTCTAAGTCTGGCAGATCTGCTTTCTTCAACATAATACTCTTCATCCGAAGACAGATCTATTGGAGGGTCAAAGACATCGTCTTCAGCCTCTTGATTCTCAGTTAGGTTTCTGTCTTTAACAATAGACAGGGATGTCGGACACCGAATCTCCTCCTGAAGGAGAGAAAAAGAAAGCATGTTAGACATCAGCTCTTTTACCTTCTGGCCATGCCTTTTCAATCTCCTCCATGGGCTGTTCACCTTCTGCCTGCTCCTTAACTATTAATATTTCTCAGGGTTTCTCTCTCTGTGTCCTATTTTGCTTTATCTCCCAAGTTCAATCAGAGCAAACTGATCTACTCTTCTGTATTCAGATCCAATTGTAAGCAAACTCACAAATATTTTATCTTCACCTCTCCTCTTCTCCTAAGATGAAGATGCAATTCTAAATGATAGACTTCACCTGGATGTAACAGGGACACCTCAAACTTAACATGTCCAAAAATTAAGGTCGACCCAGCATCCTCTCCACATCTTCTTTTCCTGGGTTTCTCAGTACCAGCAACCATCCAGGTGCCACCCGAATAGAAATCTGAGAATATTCAACCCCAATATTTCCCCTCCTTGTCATCCCATGTCCAACAGGTCACCAAGCACTCTCAATAACACTGCTTAGTAACTCCTGTCCCCTCCTCCTTCCTCCTTGCCACTACCAATGTCCTAATTCAGGCCCCTGTCACCTCAGACCTGAGCTTGTACAATAATATGTCTACCTCCAAAGCATCACCTAAGTATTTCCCAGGAAATATTTCTAAAGCATAGCTCTTATCACATCCTTTCTCTACTTTAAAACTTTTGGGAACTCATAAATACTCAAAGGAGAGAGTTTAGTTCTTTAGTATGATCAGAAGGCTCTTCAGTTTGAGCTAAACCTACTTTCCAGTCCAGCAACACACAACCACTCTCTACTCCTCAAACACAGTGTTTTCATCCCTCCATGCCTGTTTGTATCTTTCTTTTTCACTATTCTTTTTTTTTTTTTTTTTTTTTTTTTTGCTCACTTTAATCCCTTTCACCTCTTTTCAGCTCTGTCAACAAAATCTTCAAGAATCAATTAAAAAGTCCCCAACTTTCCTCAAGAAGCTAATTCTTTCTCCAATTTACACCAGAATGACATGTGCATACCTCTACTTATAATACCACTAATACCACTGTTTGAATGAATTGGAACTCTGCTCATTTATATACTGAGGCCTTCACTAAATAATAGGTTCGATGAAAGCAGAGATGTGTCTTATTTATGTTTTATGCCCAGTATCTATCAGAGAGCCTTGTGCATAGTAGTTATACTCAATAAATAACTATTCAATCAAAAAGGGCACAGACCTTCATTCAACAAATAGTTTCTAAGCACCTACCATGCACCAGTCAATGTTCTAGGAACTGAGAAACTCCTGTGGAGAAAGCAGAGTAAAAGAGCTTATATTCTTGTAGAGAGAGAAATAAACAAGTTAAATATATAGTCTGTTGGATGGTGGTAAATGCTAAAGTGAAAAATAAGGTAGGGAAGAGAGATATACAGTGACTGAGGAGGATGCTTGGAAAGGCTTCACTGATAAGATGACATCCTAGCCTAGACCTGAAGGTAATGCATATATCTGAGAGGAAAACCAAAACAGCAAGAAGGCAGCATGGCAGGAGCAGAGAGATCAAGGGGCAAAAAGGGGAAAGGGGGTAAGAGAGGTAGCAAGAGGGCCAGCTTATGTAGGGGTTCTATATCTAATAATAAGGACCATGGCTCTTATTCTGAGTCTGATAGGAAGCCTTTTAAAAAGTTTTGAGAACAGCAACATGATTTGACCCATGCTGTAAGAGGATTGCTCTACTGAGAACAGGCTCTAGGGGGCGAGATAAGAAGCAAGGAGACCAGTTGGAGACCACTGAGGTAAGTCAGGTGAGAGATGAATGAGGGTGTTGGCAGAGGCGGTGGTAAGAAGCAGTCTGATTCCAGATCTACTGGGAAGGTAGATGCTGACAGGACTTACTGCTAGATTTGGATGTGGAGTGTTAGTGTCAAGGATGATTTTCAAGCACAAGGTTAGATTTCCCATTAACTGACATGGGGAAGAAAGCAGGTGGAAGAAACTAGAGGGGAAAGATGAGATCTGAGATGTCAAGTAGGCAGCTGAGTATACAAATTTGGAATTCAGGAAACAGGTCTGGACTGGAGATAGATATAAATTTTGGAGTCATTAATGTCAAGAATTAAAAATCATGAGACCAGATGGAGGAGACTATTAAGAGACTGACTGAATGGGACAACACTTAATGTTATTCAAACTCCTTGGGGCCAAGGTACATTTCAGAATTCAGAACATTTCAGATTTGAGGAAAATAACTTTTACATTACATCTCCAGTCAGATCTTGGGAAGAAACAATTTTGTGACATGAATATGAATGAATGTTCACTATAAGGTGCAATAAAGAGTATAAACAGGGGCACCCTGGGTGGTTCAGTCAATTAAGCATCCAACTCTTGATTTCAGCTCAGGTCATGATCTCACAGTTTTGGGGATAGAACCCTGCATCAGGCTCTGTGCTGACAGTGTGGCACCTGCTTGGGATTCCTTCTCCCTCTCTCTGCCCCTCCCCCACTCATGCACACACTCTCTCTCTAAATAAATAAATAAATAAACCTAAAAAAAAAAAAAGGGAAAAGAAAGAGTAGGGGGCGCTTGGGTAGCTCCGTCCGTTAAGCATCCAACTTCAGCTCAGGTCATGATCTCATGGTTCATGGGTTTGAGCCTCACGTCGGGCTCTGTGCTGACAGCTCAGAGCCTGGAGCCTGCTTCGGATTCTGTGTTTCCCTCTGTCTCTGCCCCTCCCCTGCTCATACTCTGTCTATCTCTCTCTCTCAAAAATAAATAAACATCCGAAGAAGAAGAAGAAGAGGAGGAGGAGGAGGAGGAGGAGGGGGAGGAAGAAGAAGAAGAAGAAGAAGAAGAAGAAGAAGAAGAAGAAGAAGAAGAAGAAGAAGAAGAAGAAGAAGAAGAAGAAGAAGAAGAAGAAGAAGAAGAGGAGGAGGAGGAGGAGGAGGAAGGAGAAGAAGAAGAAGGTGGCAGTTGCCTTTAAAAAAAAAGGAAAGAAAAAAGAGTATATAAACAGCCTTGTGCTATTTCAGGTCAGGTTTTGCCACCAAATGGGTTCAGGTCAACCCTAGGTAGCAAGCTACCCAGTATGTTATGAGAAAATTTTAATTTTTAGAAATTTTTGGATTTTGGATTTCTAAGATAGATTTCAAAACTGTAGAAGGAAAAGATGAGAAAGAACCAAAAAAGGAGAAGTATCAGCTATTGAGGCAGGAAGAAATCCAAAGAGAGTAGCACCCTCAGAAGCCAAGGGAAAACAAGTTTCAAGATGAGAGGGAGGGACCAACTATGTCATATGTGTCAAAGGATAAGGATGAAGATTGGGTTTGGGAACATAGCAGACACTGGGGACCCTTGAGAACCAGCCCAGAAACACAGCTGCTAAAGAATCCCAACTTACTATTTAGGGATTATTTCCAAAACTAAACAGGCAAGACTTTAAGGATCATGAGACTCTTAAGGGAATCCATGAGTTAAAATTTCTATTTTGAATTTCCAGTATAATGCCTTTGCATATATCATTTTCTTAATGTTTACTATTTTTTGAGAGAGAGAGAGTACAAAGAGATGAGGGGGGCACACACAGAGAGAGAGAGAGCACGAATGGGGGAAGGGTAGAGAAAAAGAGAAACACAGAATCCAAAGCAGGCCTCAGGCTCTGGAGCTGTCAGTACAGAGCCTGACATGGGGTTCTAGAAACCACTAGATCATGACCTGAGCCAAAGTTAGACACTTAACCAATTGAGTCACATAGGCACCCCTCATGAGTTACAATTTCTAAAAGAAACTGTGCTCCTACTTGAGATCTAAATTAAATCTGTTCAATAAGGGCCACCTGGGTGGCTCAGTTGGTTGAGCATCTGACTTCGGCTCAAGTCATGATCTTGAGGTTCGTGGGTCCGAGCCCCATGTTGGGCTCTGTGCTAACAGCTCAGAACCTGGGGCCTGCTTCGCATTCTGTGTCTCCCTCTCTCTCTCTACCTCTCCCCCACTCACATTGTCTCTCTCTCTCTCAAAAATAAATAAACATAAAAACATTGTTTTAAATCTGTTCAATAAAATAAATTAAATAAATATGTAAGAAACAGGTTTATTCCAAAAACCTATCAGCCTGATAGTCAAGAAGGTCCTTGGAACCTAATTTATTTGGATACTTGCTTAAAATTAAATTCTTTGGCTACAGGATTGGAGAGTCTATCTAGCAGCTTTGAAAAAAAGAAGAAAAGGCAGGTGGGCGTGTCATAGCTCTCAGATGAATCAGTGAAAGCAGCAAAATTATTCCTCTCCTTTCCTGACACCTGCTACAGGGAGTAGCTTCAGCAACACCAAGTGGGTTGGTATGGCCTGAGAAGGTATAATTAGAATAGGAAGGAGCCAAAGAATAATTACTGCTTAGTAGGGGGAAAAACCCTCACAGTCTTGCTGTGAAGGAATCAGATATAGCTTAACTCAGGAATCACATACCCTTCTCTTCAATGCACAAATTATACAAAATCAGGCTTAAAAAACAAAACAGAGGTAGAGTAAGAGAAAGTACTTGTTACACGGATCTATTTGTTGCAATTCCTATGAGTCAGAGATACCATGAGTTAATGACGAATACGCTGTAATAATAATTAAAGATTATAGGCTGGGTTACGGTTGATTTCCAAATAATTATTATATCTCTTTTTATGTAAAAGACCAGATAAAACGATGATTTTTGTAACAAAACGAGTACTATGATGAGAGTAAAGTGGGCCCTATCAAAGTAACATAGCCAGGGGACTTCCGAATACACAGAAGTCTGGGATTTGTCACTAGGGAATAACCAAATATCTCATTTGGTAAGTGCAGACATGTGGTTTGTAAGCAAAGTTGTTAAAAGAGATGGTAAGACTGCTGGCTTTCATGAGAAGGTCATCAAAGTGGACGTATGTTAAGGAGAAATGATAATTAATGAAAACTAGCAGATAGTTTTTTAAATGCAAATGTCCAGGATTAGGTGAAAGCTCAGCCATACACAACTGTGGGAAATAAAATGCCAATAAAGATTGCCACCAAGGGGCACCTGGGTGGCTCAGTCGGTTGAGCGTCCAACTTCAGCTCAGGTCATTATCTTGCAGTCCGTGAGCTCGAGCCCCGCATCAGGCTTGCTGCTGTCAGCACACAGCCCACTTCGGCTCCTCTGTCCGCGCCTCTCTCTGCCTCCTCCCCCCACTCACACTCTCTCTCAAAAATAAATAAATAAAACATTAAAAAAAGAAAAAAGATTGCCACCAAAAGATGTAACTAGGGAAAACTTTTTGAGGAAAAACCCAAATGGAAATGAAAGTATACTACAGCTGAATTACTCCAGCTTTAAGTTCATTTTAGAAGGACAGGTGATCTCAAAATAACCACTTACATGTATTAACTATGAGAATGAAGTGTAGAAACTAATTTTAACTAAGAATAACCATGTGAATACTATATAGTGTTCTAACAGCTAAAGAATCATCAAATCCATTCTTAATTGCCTTTATCTTTTCTCTAGAAGCTCTGCCATCATAAAAGAGCAACTGCTTACTGACAAACCATTGCTGACCCTGAGCAACTTAATTTCATAGAACCTTCACAGCATTATATCTTACCAGGAATAAGATCTGACTTAAATTAGTGCCTCTCAGTTGTTTTTTACATACTAATCTTTGACTTGTTCAAGTAACTATAGGAGTTCAAAGAGAAAAAAATAGCAAGCGTCAGGTAATAAATAGGTGAATAAAGAAAATAATCTTAACTATAAAAAACAAATTAGGTCAACAGACCAACTGACAAAAGTTCAATTAGAACTTTTCGGAAACTTCTTTCCTCTAGCTTTTGTAGATCTTGATTGGTACATGGCCCACTCTCCATAAAGGTTCTCAGGAGAAATGCTAGATGCCAAGAATGTTGCCGGGCATGCCCCATGCAAGTGAAGGGTGCAACACAACCCCTTCCTGCTGATGCCCTTGGAAGGTGAACTGAAGAATGGACCCTACATTCTCTAGTACCAAATCTAGATCCCTATTACATGCACTAACACTGGGACTGGTCTCTTCTTAAATAAAACACGTTCTTAAAAACAGATCCAAAATACTACTCTTTCATGCCAGTGTAACTGTATCAGTCAATAGAGTGCTATGGAGACCTGCCGAATGTGTAAAGAATGCTGTGGAGAGTTGTGGCCCACATCCTTAGTGTCTTACAAATATCTGCCTACGTACATAATCCAACTGTGTTCTTATTTCATTTTGGTTTTGCTCTTCTAGGGTTTTTTCCTATGCATAGGGATAGCCATCTATTTTTAAAATACACCACGATAACACTGTATATTATATATACACTGGTGAACATCCCTACACACATTCCTGATTTTATGCTTAGAAAAATTCTTTGACGTAAAATTTTGGTGCCCGAAGGTTTGTGAAGGTTCTTAATAACATACTACAAAAACTTCCCTCCAGAAATGTTGTACCAGTTAATACTCCTAACCAGCAGAATATGAAAGTACCCTTAAACTCTGGGTATATGTTTTAATAACTGAAAATATTTAAATGGGTGAAAATGGAATTCTTCTCATTTGTCTTTTGTGAACAGTCTGATAATGACTCTCAGTTTTCCTACCACAGGACGAGAGTTCAACTTTTTCCTTTTGATTTGTAAGAGTTATAAAACATATTATAAATATTATGCATCTTGCCATGGATGTGTTCCTATTTCAAAAAATATGAGTGCCAAGTGCAGAGTAATATAAGAACTTAGCACAATACACAATGCCACACAAAAACTACTATATTAAATAGGCTAAGTCAAAAGACTAAGCATTTATAAGCAATTACTTATATAATTGACTCCTATGCTTGTAAAACTGTAACAAAACTATATTATAAGAAACATAAAAACAACTGCCTGATTGTTAAGTAATAGTTTTGCTTATTGTAATTATTTTACATATTCTCACAAGTAAAAATTCCAACAGAGAAACAACATTCTGAAAAGTTTACATTTTACTGTTTAGGACTTTCCAGGGTCTCCATAGAAGGGGGAAAACCACATTGTGGGATTACTATCCTCCATTTCTCTTTTTAGGTGTTTTAAACTACAGCCTTCTTAGATCTCTTCTAGAACTAACACTCTCAATGTATGAAAGGGCATCATGCTGATATGGCTAATATGCTGGAGGAGTCTTACCAATATTAAGTTTCAAAGGCAAGAAATAGCCTCAGCTCTGATCCACAGTTCATATTACACAAAATGGTTGAGAAGCTCAAAATACTGATAGGATAGTACATTAGTCAACACAGTAATGGCTTTATCCTGAGATTCTTGCTAATACAGAATGCCACTTCATGAATAAATACAATAGTAATGACGAGATGCTGGAAACTTCTGATAGGACTGGTTGGCAATTCAAGGATGTTAAGATTTTTCAGTAACCAAGCAAAACACAAGTGGCAATCTTACCTGGAATATTACCACACGAAATTTGTTTTTCTTCATTATTTCCTCTTGCTTGGATTCAACTTTTCTCACGTGAGTTTGCTGCCTCTCCACCCGGGCCTTCACATCTTTAATGTGAGCACTGACTTTTCGAGTTTTCTCAAACAACTTGTTAATGACGTAGCCTGTATTGCTGTGTGACTGTGAAAGCTTCAACAGGTCAATCTGGACAGATTTTATAGCATTTTCCATTTCCCTGTGTCTCTCCTCTAGTCTCTTCTGGCTTGCCTGCACACTGTCCACGATGGTGGCTACTTTGTCCAGCACAGTCACAATGGTAAGAGCAGCGTCTTGGTCTTCATCTTCTGTAACACTTGACAGGCGATTCTGATGGGTTTTATCAGCATTTGAAGCAGACCCATTATGTTCCATTTTACTTATTTCTCAGTGAAAGATGTCCCACCACAATCAATTCTGGCACTAAGAGCAAAAAGTTAGCTTGATAACAGGCAACAGGGTTGTATAAAGGGTTGGAAACCCCACCCCTGGAGACTGGTCAAGTATTTATAACTACAAATACCCACACGTGACTGTTCTGCAATATGAATCCTTGCAGAGCACTGGGTACTGTTCCAAACATGCTTGGTGACTGACTAATGGACTCAAATAAGACTGTGTGGAGAGAAGAGGAAAGCTTTAAAACAAAAAAGTTCCCTGAAGCCACCATGTTACTAATATTAAGCCTAGAAACCAAATGATCAAAAAAAGCAAACACTAAATATTGGGGGAAGCTTTTGCCATTAAATAATTTGAAGCAGTATTTGAAAAAGCAAAGGGGAATTCTGAACTGAAAATTTTTGTACTTACTTCACACATTAAATGTACCGATTTATCAATATCAAAGAATGTAGTAAAATAAACACACCAAAACAGAGGCCATATAGTGAAAACATTATATTATAACATGCTTTTCCAAACCAAGTATTAAAATTAATATTTAATTTTTAACATATTCTTAAATTCTACATGCATACTTCTGATTATCTAAACTACATGTTAAACAGCTGAATACATTCTACTCACACTTCAGATCTTTAAACACCAACAATCTATTAATATAACTATTACTACAGGACAAATTTGGATAGAGGTCTTAGATAATTTTTAAGCTCACTTTAAGAGCACCCATCATTAACAATCATTTTTGCATTTTATTCACAAACACTGATACAATTTATTTATGTTAAAACAAATATTTTTTTAAAAATGAATGTGTATTAAAGTAGTTTAACTGATAGAGAAGGCTTTATTCCAATCTGTTTGTTAAACAGACCATTTTCACAATACCTAAACCTACTTTTCAGTGATCTGTTCCATCTTGGCTACCAGATATCTTTCCAAATTATCAGAATTATTTTTTCAAAGAGAGGAATAATCAAATTCCAATCCATACAGCTTATAAATATTTCACATCTAACACACAGCTCTACAGTTCATGCGATAGGCAGGGTCTAAAAAATCAGTTACTAAATCTCAAAAAACATTTAAATGTCTATTTAAACACAGTGTCTTCTAGATTTTTTATCTTTTTTTGTAAGAAAAGTAATCTGTAAACATCTTTACCTTTAGTTCATGCTTGGTCATTTGTTGTGGTCACTGTGGAAGAAGTGGGTATGACTTTGTAACCATTTGTGAAGTGGTCCATCTTTGCAAAAATATTACATTCCATGGGTAAAGAACAAGTCTTAGAATTACCATGTGGTATAAATTTGTGAAATCAATTTCTGTATTTAAAAACATAAAACAAAGACTACGAAACAGTCCAAAACTGTTGTAGCTGAATATTCTAAATACGAGCCAACAGTACTACACTAAAAATGTCCAAAAATAAGGCCTCTGAAATAAATATTTCCATTCTTTAAAAAAAGACATAATAAATGTACATCACATGGTCAGTGTACATATAAAAGTCATCAGTTTAAACCATTCTGGATGACGTATCTGAAGTAAAATGACCTAGGTTTTGCTTCTGCCGCCGTCCTCTGTTGTTTTTAGGGCATTTTCTGTTGAATTAAAAAAATAAAGAAAAGAAAAAGGTCATTTTGTTTAAGATATTTCAAATGTTTCCAAAGTAATACACATTTCACACATAAAGCCTTAATGAGAAACAGGATGCTGTTTGATGCAAGTCAAGCTGAGGACCAACGTGTCAGACTGCTATTTTCCCTACACAGCTGGGGACTAGAGGTTAGGTACAGAATGCAGGTGTAAGCACAAGCAAAGCTCACTCCTGGGTCTCTACTGCAGATGCACTTCCCCGCCCTTCTTCTGGCCTGACAACTCCCTAGCTGCGGTGACCAATAACATATAAACCTAGGATAGTATAAAGGATCCTGATCCATGTACTTCCTCTGAGCATTATGACACCCCCAAAGTGACAAGAACAGCTTGGACGAGGGAGTAATCGGGAAGAAGTGTGCTTATTAACCTCAGATATGAATAGACAGGAAATGCTTAGCAATTTTAGACAAGGACTCGAAAGAAGTTTTTCTGCACCCTGCTTGGGCAAATCACAGAACCCAATAAAGAACTGTCATCCTGGGGATAAGGGATAGTCTTGGACTCTGCTTTCCCTTTAGTGTACATGTTTCTCCGTGGTGGTATCAATCTCATTGTGCTGTAATTGCTCTTGTGCCTGCCCACCAGAATGCAAACATACGAGCTCTTACTATGCACAAAGTGCTGTGGTATGCAGTGTGGAACAAAGGCACTGGGATGAATTCTGAGTTTGGACTCTGCTAAAAACTAGCTGTGCAATCTCCTTTTCCTACATATGAAATATTAAAAGTTGTACAAACCTCTAAAATCTCTGCCAGCAAGGTATTTATAATCTAATGGAAAGAAAGTCTTGTGACAAGGAATATTCCTAAAGTTCTCTGTTTCTAGTTCAGTTTCAAAGAGCACTGCTTTGCCTTGACTTAAAAGCCTTGGTGTTAACACTTTCATCTTATATGCTGTTTTTTGCAAATTTTATCTCACTAATCCTCATAAAAACACTTTGAGGTAGACAGTGATGAAATCACGTCCATTTCATGGTTAAGAAGCCAAGCAAACCTCTTTAACTGTCACCAACTCACCATGACCTTGGAAAAATTCCAACTTCCTGGGGCCATGGTTTTGTCATCTATAAAATAAAGGTGTTTGGCTAAGATGATGTTTGAGGTCCCTGCTATTGTCATTCTAGGGGTCTCAAAACATAAAAGAAGATTCCAAATATAAAAGAAGAAAATTTTACTCATGCAGTCTTGCTCAGTGAGTCAGTGGGAACATCCTTTTAATGGAAGATTCCTCACATGTAACAGCCACCATGGGATAAGTGAACAGCTGTCCCATAATGGACCGTGTGGGAGAGGCACTCCTTAAAAATTCAGTGGAGCTAAGTCCAAGTACATAATTATAATATTCTAAATTCAAGAGAGCAAAACATTTGAGGGGAGACAACACCACAATAAAAAGACAGGCCTCAATGAGGAGACATGTAAGATAAATTCAATGAGATGAGTCTTCAGTCACGGAGACAGTGGGCAGCAAAAGACGGCTGCAACACAGTTATAAAAACACCGTGATGTCTAAAGTCTGTGAAGGCAGCACATGGATTTGGGATATAAATTTGAGGGCACAAACTTGAAAACTACTTGTCAGGTAATTTTAATTTAGTAGAATTAGAATTTTGAAGATTGTAGCACACTGAAAACAGAAGTGTAGAACAAGATAAAAGGCTGGATTGGGATTTTTAAAGGGCTTAAGTATCTTGAGTAAGGTATTCCCCCATCTAAGCCTTCAGTCTCCTCACATCTCTAGAATAGAAGGCATTGACTCAAAGCTGCTTCCTGCTAACTCTAACATCCTTTGATCTTCTTAAACATGACATCGTCACCAGACCTCAAAAACTTCCCTCATCTTTACCTTCTTTCTTTCACCCTCCAAATAATTCATTACTCCGCTCCTGCTTTACTCGAATAACGTCCTAAATAGTTCCCCTGACCTCACATTTTCTCTCCTCCAGTGAAATTTTGCAGATGACACCCAGATTAATGCTCTGAAGAAATGATTCATACCAAGTCATTCCCCCCAACTCTATTCAAAAGCCCTGTCCCTCTAACAAAATTAAGTTTGAACCTTGCTAGCAAGCAACGGTCATACTTGGCAAATGTATTTCCTGAGGTGACTCAACATAGACCCTCCTCTTGATGGTTCAGTGGAAAGAGGAATGGTTTGGAAACCAGGCAGCACTGAATCCAAATCCAGCACTTCCACTTACTAGTGGGATGACCACAGGCAAACTACTTAACCTCTAAGCCGATATTAAACGGCCACAGGCAGCTCTGCTGTTACGTGGGTTTTTTTTTTTTTTCTATTTTCCCTTTCTGCTGTCATTTTTTATATTATTATCCCAATTTTAATCTACTGCCCATTTTTTTTTCCTACTGCCCAATTTTATACTCAGTAGTCTTGCCTAAGGGCAGATCATCTGTTCAGTGGAATAAAGTCCACTGATTTTAGCACTTGAATTTTATGAAAAATACCTGTTATTCAGAGAACATTTTTTATCATTTCTAGATTTATCATTTCAGCTCCAGATGGCTGAGACTAGTGAAGGTCTGGCTTCTATCCAGACCTTGGATAGAAGAGCTATAAATCCATTATGGCCTGCCAATATCTGTACTTGATATGCTCCGATCCTCTGCCCAGAATAATGCAGACAAGTACAGAAATGATGTTTATGGGACTTCTGAACCAAATCTTAAAGGAGACAGGAATAGCCAAGCAAGACAAAAAAAAAACAAAAAAAAACAAAAAAAACAAAAAACAGGACACTGGGAAGCAGAAAGACAATATGAACTGGATTTAGCTGGACTTTTCTTGGGTCCACTTCATTTCTGACTTCTACATTTCCACTAAGTTTGGAAAATACCCATTTTTTCCCTGTTGCAATCCAAGAATGTCCTTTAATTTTGAGTTTAATTATGATAAATGCCAATGGTTTTAGTTATGATGGAGAATTTTAAAGATTACTTATAACTGTGTTCCAAAAAATGAAGTAATGAAATGTTAAGACAACGATATACGAAGAAAAGCCATTTTCTTTGATCTCTGATTTCTTCCTTTCTTATTATATTTACTATGGATAAAGTATATCCTTAGGGCAAAAAACACCTTGCAGTTCATCAGCGCCTTAAAAACTGGGGCAGGCCCTTCTGTGCATGTGCAGGCCATTCTGCTACTACAATCATCATTCCAGAATGCAGTTCTAAGATCCCTACATTCTTTATGCCACTGAATATTATCCATGCTCCCTTTGCCAGCTGCCCAGCTACACCTGTAACCCTGAGAATGAGTTCTTGTCAATACTCTAAGGAAGCAAGATAAGGACAGGTCAGACCTACTTAGAAATCTTAGGAACTGATCCTAGGATTTTTTCCTAATAGATAGGAAGACTTAAAGCCCCTATCATTTTGAGTGTGCTTCAAGGTTCTTCTTTACTTTAACAGCTATCCAACTCTAATTTAAGGTTGGTATTTCTTAGGCCATTACCTACCTCGTTATGCACATGACAATCGCTACTATAATGGCAATCTGTACAGCTCCAATAATTGCTGCAATAAGAACATGAGTGAGCTTTTGCCTACTTGGCACAACATAGAGAATACTAAAGTCCGTCTTTTCACAGTGCTGTCCAGTGTAACCAGATTCACATCTGAAAAGGGGAGGGAAAAAGATTCCTATGAGAATTACAGATTCTAATAATTCTAGGTTTTAGAAGAACATACAAAAGAATAATAAATTTATACAAAAATAGCAAATCAGGTGCTTTCCCACTATCTGAAAAAAAAAAACCCCAAAACTTCCATCTGTGTATTTCCTTAAATCCTACTCAATATCTATTTCACAGTGCATCTTTCACCTATCATTATAGGACATTAATTTTACAGTTGCTAAATGGTCTTTATTACACCTCCTTTAAAAAAACAGATACATAAGGGGCGCCTGGTGGTTCAGTCAGTTAAGAGTCTAATTCTTGACTTTAGCTCAGGTCATGACCTCAGAGTCGTGGGATTAAACCCCACATCAGGCTCTGCGCTGGGTGTGGAGCCCACTTGGGTTTCTCTCTCTCTCTCTCTCTCTCTCTCTGCCCCTCTCCCACTTAAACAAGTACATGCTCTCTCTCTCTCAAAAAAAAAAGGTACATAATAGTACCTTCACTGGCTATCATATAGCTAACATCTATTCCTCAGTCTAAGAGACATGCCAGCTATTTCCTTTTTTTTTTAAGTTTATTTAATTATTTTGAGGGGGTGGGGGGAGAGAGAGAGAGAGAGAGACAGAAAGAATCCCAAACAGGTTCCATGCTCTGCATGGAGCCCCATAAGGAACTCAATCCCATGATCTTGAGATCATGACCTGAGCTGATATCAAGAGTTGGATGCTTAACTGACTGAGTCATCTAAGCGCCCCTATTTTCCATTTTTCACAACTATGAATTAGGTATAACAAATATTGGTGAGTGTGCACATTTCTATATTTAGTGTTATTCAAGTCTAGGTACTTGGAAATGGGATGACTAAATAAATAGATATAAACATTTACAGTTCTCTGAAAATTGCACTTTTTATATTATATCCAACACACTTTAGTGTACATAAATATAATCATTTAAGATGCAGGGGAAAAAGTAAAATAAGTTATTGACAAAAGCAGAGTCAAGCAGCCAAACAGGAGCTAATCTTAGAAATTATCTGAATTCCAAGTAAATAAAAAGGCAACATCAGCTGATGATAATAATTTGACAGGGGGAAACATTTAAGATATTTAACAAATTTCACACTCTGTAGCTGACAGAAGTAAAATGTATAAATTAGCCAGCCTTCAGTTAGAACTGATTAATAAAACCTCTGAAGTGTGAGGATAGTCGAGTTATTAACATCCCACACTTCATTAGAAAAAAAGATTTTTTAATAGAGCACACATAAAGAATAAGAAGAAATAGGAATAGGGAAATAGGAAGCCAGGGGTGATGTGAGTCCACTCCTCCCATCCCTGAGGTTGCTACACACCTATCAGAAAATTTCACACTGGGTCTAAGTCTACTAGCAGACAAAAAAAAAAAAAAAAAAAAAAAAAAAAAAAAAAAAAAAAAAAAAAACCAAAGTAGTAAGGCAGATTTATAGATCATGGAATAGAACCTGAGAGCCCTGAAATACGCCCATACATCTATGGTCCAACTGATCTTTGACAAGGGTGCTAAGACAATTCAATAAGAAAAAATAACCTCTTCTCTGCCCCTCCCCCGTTCATGCTCTGTCTCTCTCTGTCCCAAAAATAAATAAACGTTGAAAAAAAAAAAATTTAAAAAAGAAAAAATAACCTCTTCAACAAAGCTGCTGCGACTAGATGTCCACATGCAAAAGAATGAAGTTGAACCTCTTCTTTACAACATACACAAAAAATAATTCAAAATGGATCACAGATCTAAAGGTAACAGCTAAAACTATAGGGGCGCCTGGGTGGCTCAGTCAGTCAGGCGTCCGACTTAGGCTCAGGTCATGATCTTGTAGTCAGGGAGTTCCAGGCCCGCATCAGGCTCTATGCTGACAGCTCAGAGCCTGGAGCCTACTTCAGATTCTGTGTCTCCTTTTCTCTCTGCCCCTGCCCAACTCACACTCTGTCCTTCTCTCTTTCTCTCTCTCTCTTTCTCTCAAAAAATAAACATTAAAGGTAACAGCTAAAACTATAAAACTCTTAGAAAAAAAAGTGAATCTTCATGATCTGGATTAGGCAAAGATTTCCTTAGATATGATACTAAAAGCATAAACAACAACAAAAAAGTTAAACTGGATTAAATCAAAATTAAAACCTTTTGTGTTTAAAGGCACTATCAAGAAAGTAAAAAGATAACCAAAAGAATAGAATATTTTTGCAAATTATATTTTTGATAAGAGACTTGTATCTAGAATATATTTAAAAAACTATTACAAACTCTAACCAAAAGAAAAAAAAATTACAAAATGGGCAAAAAGATCTGAATAGACATTTTTCCAAACAAGATAAACAAATGGCAAATAAGCACATGAAACAATACCAATATCATTAGTCATCACGGAAATGCAAATCAAAACAACAATAAGAGATCACTTCATACCCACTGGAATGGCCAGAATCAAAAAGTCAGATAATAACTGTTGATGAAGATGCTGTAGGGAATGAAAAATGGCAAAGCCACTTTTGAAAACAGTCTGGCAGTTCCTCAAAAGTTAAACACAAGAGTTACCATTTGGCCTAGCAATTCCACTCCTGGACACTTACCCAACTGAAATTAACACAAGTCCACACAAAAACCTGCCAACAATTATTCGGCAGCATTATTCATTAATAGCCAAAAAGTGGGAACAATCCAAATATTCATCAATTGGTAAGCAGATTCAAAATGTGGTATTATAAGGAGCAAAGTACTGACATATGCTACAACATGGATAAACCTTGAAAACATTATGCTAAGTGAAAGAAACCAGACACAGAAGACCACGTTATACAAGCCCACTTAAATGAAATGTCCAAAACAGGTAGATCTATAGAGACAAAACAGACCAGTGATCGTCTAAGACTAAGGGCGGTGGGCAGGGCGATTTGAGAGTAACAGCTAAAGAACACAGAGTTTCTTCTGGGGGCGATGAAACGTTCTAAAATTGATTGTGGTACTACAAAACTGTGAAAAAAAAATACTAAATACTAAAAATCACTGGTTTAAAAAAAAGAATAAGTGGGGAAAAAATGGTAAGATTATTAACATAAAATGCAATCTCCATAAAATAAAATCAAACCAGTTGCTCAAAAGAACCACAGTTGCTACTAATATTAGATTCAAGGGGATTTTACCTCATTGGTCCTGATTTAAAGAGGGCACTTTTTGATGCAGAGAACATCATCCTCAATAATATAGTTGTAATAAATTCAACAATATAATGAAATCTTATAGGATTTTTAAAATAATGTCTTTTGTGGTAAGCTAATGGCAAAAAGTCAAAGCTCAGTAAAATAAAAACAGGTCCATAGGGAGCTATAACAGTGTCCTAGATATGCAGCTCTCCGACAGTTTAGCTTAATCCAAAGATTAAAATCAGAGTATCAAAAAGAATGTATAGGCCATATATCATTCAGGCAATCCTCCTTGGATATTATTTTCTGCAACTGACTTTTGGGTTACACTCTCCAAATATCTGGATAATAACTTCTAGGTTATTACTACTTCTTCTGTTTTTGATTAAAGGCAGATCCAGGCATTTGGTCTTCTACACTCTCCATTCTTTCATCCTACACACGTCCATAGTAATCTCGTTCACTACCATGCCCTCATGTGCTGATTCTTCCATTTGTCCATTTACTAAACATCTGACATGTGTCAAGTACTGTGGATATTTGGGATACATCAGTGAGCAAAACAAATAAAGATCGCTGGTCTGGTTAACCTCTAGCTGGAGGAGGGAGGGTCAATAAACATGAATTAAATGGTTATGTTAGAAGGTGATATGCACTACATGAAGAGAAAGAAAAGAGTTAGTTAAAGGAAATTATAGGTCAGGAAGAGAGGGTTGCAACTTTAAACAAGATGGTCAGGGTAGGCTTCACTAAGAAGCTGACATGTAAGTGAGGATGTGAAGGAGGTGAGGGAATCTGCCATGTGGACAACAGGAAGGAGAACATATCAGATAAAGGAAGAGTCAGTGCAAAGACCCTGAGGAGGGAGCATTATTAGCACATGGCCATGTCCAAGAATAGCAAGCATGGCTGGAGTGGAGTGGGCAAGCAGAAGGGAAACAGAGAATTAAGACAGAGAGGTGAAGGGGTCAATTGTGCAGGGTTTCTGCACTCGATGAGATAGAGGAGCCACTGGGAGGGTTTTAGCAGAGAAATGACATGAACTTTCATTTGAAGTCTCCATCTCGGGGTGCAAGGGTGGCTCAGTTAGTTAAGTGCCCAACTTCAGCTCAGGTCATGAACAGCCAACTCATGTTTCATGAGTTCAAACCCCACATCAGGCTCTCTGCTGTCAGCACAGAGCCTACTTTGGATCTTCTATCTCCCTCTCTCTGCCCCTCCCCAACTGGCAAGCATGCTCACTCTCTCCCTCGCCCTCTCAAAAATAAACATTAAAAAAAAAAGAATGAAAAGTCTCTATCTGGCTTCTAAGTTGAATATGGACTGTAGGATACAGGGAGGCTGTTGCAATAATGCCAGAGAGAAGAAACGGTGATCTGAACCAGGAATAGCAGTGGCAATGGGGAGAAGAACTCCGATTCTGGACATATTCTGAAACAGAGGTAATAGGGTTTCTCAACTGACTGGGTATGGATTACGAGAGAACTCGAAGATGTATCAGAGGTGTTTTCTCTGAGCAAAGGAAAACATGGAGTTGGCATCAACTAAGATGAAGAAGGCAGCAGATGGAACAGGTTTAGAGAAGGGAAGGCAGATCAGGAGATAGGCTTAGATCCTATTGAAATGGAGGAGTCAAGACATCCACAGGAAAATATCAAGGAGGGAGAGGGATCTATGAGTCTCAAGTTGAGGAGAGGGGTCTGGGATTTATGCAAAGTAGGAGTCATCAGCATATGTCATGGAAAGCTCTAAGGCTGGGTGGCATCACTAAGGAAGAGGACCAGGACTGGACCCTTGGACATTCCAACAATGAGAGGTCAGGAGCAAAAGGTGAACCAGCCAAGAAGATGTAAAGGAATGGCCAGTGAGGCAGCAGAAAAGAGAGAGAGAATGCAATCCCTAAAGCCAAGTGTATTATTATGCATATTGCACAGGAGTCAAATGCTACTGACTGTTCAAAAGTAATTTAAGACTAAGAATTGATCACTGAATTTAGCAACAAGAACAGCCTCAGGGAAGTGTTGGAGCAAAAGCTCATTGGGGTGGGTTCATGAGATACAGGAAGTGAGAAGCTGGAGAGAGAGCACAGACAACTCTTTTGCGTTCTTCTACAAAGGAAATAAATGGGACAGCAGCTGATGAGAGAGTGAGAATTTTTTTCAAAGACAGAAGAAATGAAAATATATTTAAATTATATATATATATATATATATATATATATGTATATATATATAAACATATCTATACAAGAACATATGAAACACAGAAAAGCAGGGAGAATTTCTGGTTGGTGCGGGTGAAAAATCTGTGAGAGTCCTCCTCATAATGCTTCAATGTTCTCAGTGAACTCAGAAACAAGATGATCAGCTAAGGAGGAGAAGGAGGTACGGACAATCTGAAGAGAAGGGTGACAACAGAAAGCCAGCATCTGGGACAAGAGGAGGATGAATGGACTGAAGCTCAGAAAGACAACCTGGCAGCTCGTAGGGCCCATTTTGAGTACAAACATCGGTGAGATGCATTAGCCTGGTGGTGTGCTTTTCATTAACAGTCATGTTCAGCTGGATGGGTATACAGAATAGCTGTATAGGTACACATTAGGCAGGAAGGAATGAACCAGGATTATAGTTTTGTCAAGTGAGTATGATGAAACAAGAGAGGGACGACCATGACTGACCATGAATTTAAGCTGGATAAGGAGGGGATGAAGACATTCAAGGGGCTAGGGACACGGAAAAAAGGTGAAAGGATGGACAAACTGGAGGCCTAGAGGGACAGAAGCAGGGCTGGGTAGGAACTACAAGGGATATGCTAGAGTAGAACGATTCCCAAACGTATGCCTCCAACCTGCATCTGTCTCCTGAGTTCTCAAACCAACATACATCCATCAGCCTGTTAGACTTCCATAGGTGGATCCCCCACAGGCACCTGAGACCAAGCATATTACACTGAATACATCATTTCCACCCAAACCTCCTCCGTCTTCCCGTTCCCTGTCCCCACTCACTTCTGCCTTACCCAGACACCCGGGAGACTCTCTTGACTCTTCCTTCCCACCACCCTCCACCAACTCCCACATTCCATCTTCAAACAACTGGTCACCAAAACCTAGGGGTTGAACTACCCTATCTTCTCTCTGCAATTCATCTGCTGATCTCAGTGTCACTACAACTCCTTTACTTAGTTCAGGCTCTAATTTCTTACTAACGCACAGTCTCCTAACATTCAGTCTCCTGATCCATTTTACACAAAACCAGCGGCTTTCAGATCTGATCATAACTTTCTTAACTTAAATCCTTCAGTGGCTTCTCAAGCATCCTTTAAAATAAAGGGCAAGTTCCTGGAGTGACACAAATGTTCCTGTAAGACCTGCCCCTCTTCCCACAATGTCCCTCATCCTCATCAAGGTGAAGTGCCTTGTCTGAAGTCCCAAATCATCTTGAGTATATCTATCTCTGTGTGGCAGCATTTTTCATTTTATATTTTAATTGTTTATTATTATTGTCTTCAACCAGACATTAGGTTTTTTGGAACCTGTAGACGGTAGGTTTTTTGGAAGGCAAGATGCCTGGATCCCTGTCATACCTGAATTTGAGACGCCAGGGGCAGGCAGAATTTGGTACAAAGTAAGTAATAAACAAACAAACAAATTAAGGGTGGGATAATACTAAAAGATTTTAACCTAATAATAGGACTGTGGCTAGCGATTGTTCATCCCTGCCTGCTTACTGTTACCCAAACATACCCACCTATTAGTTGAAGTGCATGTGATATTATGGCCTGATTCTTATAGACTTTGTAAATGCTTAGACAAAAGAAAAAGATCTGCTGCTTTTTAGGATTATACGTATGCAGAAAAGAGATTCTCTGGCATTTAAGAAACAACTCTGGTCTGGAGAAGAAGGTGGAGTTGATCATCATCACATGGCATTCAAAAGATAGTTAACTGGGGCACCTGGGTGGCTCAGTTGGTTAAGCGTCCGACTCTTGGTTTTGGCTCAGGTCATGATCTCACAGTTCATGAGTTTGAGCCCCACATGGGGCTCTGCGTTGACAGTGCAGGTCCTGCTTGGGATTCTCTCCTTCTCTCTCTGCCCGCCCCTCCTCCTCTCTCTCTCCCTCTCTCTCTCTCAAAATAAATGAATAAACATTTTTTTAAAGTTACCTAAGTAGCTACTGGAATAGGCCCCCTGCGAGGCAATGGGAAGACAGGTTTAGCAAAACAGTCTCAAACCTAAAGGCAATTATAATCTAATAATGTCAACTCCTATTGATTAAATACATACTAAGTACCAGGTATTGTGCTAAGCACTTTGCATATATTATCTCATTTAATTTTAGCAACAATTTAAATTTAAATTTAGTAAGTTTTAGGAGATAGGTACCCTTATTATTTTAATTTTTGAAATGAGAAAATGAGGCTTAGAAATTTAAGTAACTTCAGAAGAGCACAGTCAGTAACTGCCCAGTCTGGCGTACCTGCTTCCAAAGCCTTTAACCACTATACCACTGAATCCTCTCACTGTCAATTACTCACAGTAAATACTGCAAAGTGACCTGGTATCACTTGATTATCAGGACACCATCCTCTCTCATCCCTCACTTTTAGATATCTTGAAAGATGCCCTATCCTAAGAACAACATAATCTGAATTTCTATCAAGATTATGTATGCCACTTGGGACAAATAGGAGGAATCCATTGAATGATTTTGTTTTAAAACTGGCTTGTTGGGGCGCCTGGGTGGCTCAGTTGGTTGGGCATCCGACTTCAGCTCAGGTCATGATCTCACAGCTTGTGGGTTTGAGCCCCGCGTCAGGCTCTGTGCTGACAGCTCAGAGCCTGGAGCCTGCTACGGATTCTGTGTCTCCCTCTCTCTGTGCCCCTCCCCCACCCTCTCTCAAAAATAAAGATAAAAAAATTTTAAACTGGCTTGTTCCCCTTTGCACAGCTGTATTTTTTTAACATTTAGGAAAGAGGGGTGGGAAAGGAGCGATAGCACTTTCAAACAGGAAAAAGCCAAAAGCTTAACAAAGAATTATTTAATCATTAACAGTTTATAATGTTTTGTTCTGTTTTTAAAGCAGGAGAAGAGGAAAAAGAGAGCCTGGAGAAGGGAGCTAAGGGTAGAGGGACCAGGATACCTGCTTTCAAACAGCTTTCTTTTACTTTCTGGAGAGAAAGATTCACTGGCCTACTAGGCTGACAGAACAAAGGAAAAGTGTAGTATTTCTCCATCTTTTGATGTTTTGACTAAGAAAGGAAAAAAAGGACTCTGGCCAAACTGCAAGAGGCAGGAACGTGCAGAATGACAGCAATCTCCCCTTGTCTAAGGAAATACTGTACTCTGGCTAACCAGACCAGTCTGAGATAGAGGATGAGCTCCCAGCACCAGCAAGAAGTGTTACTGGTAAACAGACACAGAACAGCAAAACGCATCACGATCATTAGGCTGAGTGTCAGGAAATCCGAGATCTAGTTTTGCTGCTGCTGACCTTGAACAAGTTTCATAACCTCTCCTGCTTCAGACAGTAGAAGATTTACACCTTTCCCATTTCTACTTCTCTCTTCACACCTGGTTCTACATCCCCATTCCCTTATTTTTAGAAATCTATTTCAGTATATGTTTTGAGTTACGAATTCTCTGTTCTTAACACATTCTTTAGTCCCTAAATCACCTTGTGACAGATTGCCTGAAAACCAAAATAGTGCTGAAATATGGCATATTTATTTCTTATATAAAAAATGGACATCATATTAAAAATGTTAAGCCCATAATCTTAAAATCCTAATATGACATCTGTTTTTGGTTTTGCATATTATACATGTCAGCTTTTTCCAAATGATACTGCTAATTTATTTTTGACTCAACTGCAAATAAATAATACTTTTTGGTAATATTTAATCTATATTTCATTATAGCTTTCTATAGAGCAGTGACTGCAGGAAAAAGTTCCTCACCTCTGATCTGGAGTTGCTGACTTACCTACAAGAAGCCTTCTGAGTGGAATAGATGAATTCACATTTCCCATGGATGCAGTAACCATTGAGGTTTTCAGGGCAAGGCATGTGGTTTCCAATATAAACATCTTCTCTTTGATCACTAGCATCTTAAAAGAACATAAACCAGGGCAATAAACAGTGAAAAGCAATTGAAAAATATGGACTTTTCAAAGATTCTAACAACAAATAAATTGGCCGGTAATTTGGAAAAGAAAATTATCAGATAGGGGGCTGGATAAGAACCAAGGTCTCATTATGACATAAACACAATAAGTAGACTGTTTAGATTCAAAGCATTTAAAAATATTTGCAAAACATGAGTTTTGCAAACTATGAGTTACTGTTGTTTACAAACAATCTGCCCCCAAAACATAAACATCTTGGTTAAAGAAATAAATGCTAGCTCAATAAGAAAGCTCATCTCTATGAACCAGAGATGGTGTACTACAGCTCTGGGTTTTGAAAAACTGACTTAGTCTAGTCATTAACCTGGGGACTATGAAATTGAAGTAAAAAAAAAAACTGGAATGGCAGAGAGCAAGGTATGGCACTTTGAAATTTTAGGGTGAAATATTTTGGGAATGAAAACTATTATGCATGTTGATTTTTTCTTCCAAATGCTGATTTTTTATCTGGCTGTTCTTAGTATATGTTATTGTATAAAAAATTCAATAACATAGAGAACAAATAAAAAAAAATTTTTAATCACCCGAAACCCCTCTATCCAAACAGAACCATTGAAAACATGTTGATGAACATCTGTTCAATTAGGTATATTGATTTGAACTGACCTGAGCTGAAGTGAAGAAAATGAGAGTATGGTGAGTAATTTCAATGTCATAAATAGGAAGAGAATCAGGAAAGAAGGACAGAAAGGAGCAGGAGGGAGGGAGGCATAAGGACTCGGTCTTCAAAATAAATCATTTCATCCATTCTCTCTATCCCTCTCTATTTCTCCCTATCCCCTCTGTTTCTCTCTTGCCTCTCTCATGTACTTACATAAGCATATACCTAATACCCACACATTCTGCAATGGACTTTTAAACTTTTTTTCCTGGTGTATACATTAATATATTCATCCTTAGTCTATGGACTCAAGAGTTCCTACACAGGCCTGTGCTTATGTACGAAAAATTCCCAGGCTTCCTGTCAGTTTCTCACATTTCTAGCTTACAAATTCTGTGATCAGCTGTGTGACCTTGAGAGTACCACCCTCTCTAAGACTGAGATTTCCTAACTGTAAAGTCAGGATCTTAACAGGATCTATACTTCATGTAGTTCTGAGAGGATTATGTGAGATAATTGATGTATGCACAAGACCACTAGAACAACCAGCTCTCAATCTATATACCACACCATGTCACAGCAAAGGCTATCTCCCCCAAATACAAATAAAGGTATTGCTATAATGTGGAAATTATTAATGGAACCAAATTAAGAAGGAATAAAATAGAAGACTGTGTGTATAAATATGTATGTGTAGGAAAGGGGAAGAGCAAGGGAGAAAAAGGAATGGAGGTACTAAGTAGGAAGAGAAACCTGAGTACTAAAAATGCAGATTTTCTGGAGACTGAAATTCACATACAAAAGGAAAAATGCGTAATGATTATTAGGCTCAATAATAGGATACCTAAAAGCAGAGAGATCATGTCATCCCTCACAAGATGAAACTGATGCTATTTTACCTCAAAATTTATGTATTTACATTGTACTAACTTATGCCTGTAAAGAAAACTGAACCAGAAATCAAGAAATCCAACATGGAAATTCTCAAGGTATCTCTGCTGTTTTGCTCTGTTTAAGTATTTATTTATTTTGAGAGAGAGAGCGCGCATGAGCAGTGGAGGGGCAGAGAGAAAGAGAGAGGGAGAGAATCCCAAGCAGGCTCCATACCGACAGCTCAGAGCCCGATGTAGAGCTTGAACTTATGAACCGTGAGATCATGACCTGAGCCAAAACCAAGAGTCAGATACTTAACCAACTGAGTTACCCAGGCGCCCCTCTCCTATTTTGTGACCTTGGTCAAATCACACTGTCTCTCTAAAGCAGCTGAATAAGATCAGCATTGTCCAACATAATATAAGACGTGTAATTTTTAGTTTTCTAGTAGCCATATTTTTTAAGTAAAAAGAAATAGGAAAATTAATTTTAATTCTATATTTATTTAATCTATCAAATAAGTATCACTTCAACATATAATCAGTATTACAAAATTGTGATTTTTTTTTTTACACACATTTTCTTAAATATGTCTTTAAAATCTGGTGACCACTTAACACTCACTCACAGCACATCTCAATTCTGACTAATCTTGTTTCAAGTACTCAATAACCACATACTGCTAGTACCCACCATATAAGATAGCACAGTATAGATGACTATTCATTTATCATTTATTGGTCATCTTTCATATGCCAGGTACTCTGTAGGTGCTGGGGACAGAAAAATATCCTGTCCTCAAAGGGCTTATATGGTCTCCTCCAGCTCCCAAACTATAATTTTGCCATGACAGAAGAAATCCCTTGGGGCTGCTATAATCCTAAGCACCCACTTCTCCACTACAATACTCATGATATTGTCTTACAACCATTTGGGTTTTTTAACTCAGTCTCTACTATGAGACTGTGAGCTCCTTAAAAATCTAGACATTTGTATCATTTATTTCTGTATAACTCCTAACACTTAGAATATAGTACTTTTCTTGCTATGGTTTCAAATTAAAAGTGCTATTCCACATTTGCAATCAAACCATAAGTGACTTGAGCAATACAACTGTCTCCCGTAGCACTCATCACCCTGCAACTTCTCAGAACATGATACTGTCATGGTGTGTTACACCATGAAGTATATAATAATGGGACTACAGAGACTAAGGTTATGTACCAACCTATAATAATAAGATCTTGTAATGTGTATCATAATGGTACTCTATAGGTCTACAGAGGCTGTGGTAATGTACTAATCTACCATAAGAAAAGTCCTATCAACAGCAGGAAATCTCAAGAATAATGCAGAACTGAATGCTATCAGAGAATCAGCTACATCACAGCAATAAGAAAAAGTTAACTAAATCAAGAACAGGGTTTTGAGAAATTAGTAAACAAAGCATAGCACCAGTGGCATTTACTGAATGAATTAATGAAAGAATGTGGTATCAGGCTGTAGACAAGGCAAAGCCATCTAAAAACACAGACATGTCCAGTAAGACTTTGAAATCTGTGGCTGTCACAGAACCCAAATTTCGCATTCTGCTCAGTGCCAGCTCTATTCATTCCATTATACATAAACACACTATTTCTGTGCATAGCCATATACTCAGCTAAGCTACAGAAGATATAAAGAAAAAGTATACATGGTCCCTGCCCTTGAGAAGCTTATAATCAACTTAGGGAATTAAGGTATACACATGAAAAGCTGAATAACACAAGAGAAGGGTTTCCACATGACAGTTTATAATTAAATGCCAAAAAA